CGAAGTTACTTAAATCTATTTCGTTCAAATTTTCAAAATTTTCATCATCAGATATAATTAACACATTTCCTTCATCTTCTGACCCATTTTTTTCACTTTCAGAACTTGAATTTTCAATAAAAAAAATATCATTAAGTTCTGCTAAAGCAGCTGATATAGTTTCATTTGCATTTTCATTCTTAAAATAAATGCCATATTCCATATTGCTTAATTAAATTTTAAAGGAAAAATGCGAAAAGTTATAAAATAATGGGCGACAAAAAATTAAAAGTTACGCCTTCTTTACTAATATATTATGAATGGAAAAACATATTTCCCGAAAGGTTAGACCTATAAGAACATGACGATCACAAAATCTCAAAATCACGTGATCGGTCTGAGTCCCCCTTTTGCTTGGAGGGTCCCCATATATAAAAATAAGGAAAAAATATATATTTTATAATGATTTAATGTATATAAAATTACAAAAAAACGTATATTTTATAATTCTTTAATGGATGCAAAATCACATAATTTATATATGTAATTACTACTAAATTTATAACTTATTAATTTATTGATATATAATTTTAAAATTATTTTAATTTTAATTTATTTATTTATTTATTAATAAAATATAAATAACAATAATAAAATACAAATATTTTATAATAATAAAAATATTATTTAATATAATATAAATATAAAAAAAAAATACAATAAGTAATATTTAAAATATTTAGTAATATATAAAGTAAAAAAGTAATGATATTAGTAATAATATTTAAAAATATAAAAAAAAAATAAAATAACATTAGTAATATTAGCGTTAGTAATATTTAAATTGTTAAAAAAAAGAAAATAGATATAATTAATAAATATAAAAGAAAGAAAGAAATATAGTTAGTAAACTATTAGTAGTTAATAATATCAGAAAAATAATATTTAAAGAAATAAATATACGTGATAAAAAGAAGAGAAAAAAAGAAAAGAGAAAATGCAAAAATAAAAAAATAAATAAACAAACAATATTTAATTTTAGATGATCAGGTGTAATGTAAACTTATCATATAATTACATAATTTATAAAAACATGTAAACAATTAAAAAATATAAAGCAAAGATTGCAACAGAAGAATAATTTTTTTTGCAGACTTTTATGAAATTCAAAGTGAACTTTACTTTTAATAAAAGTTTTAAATTTATCATTAATTATTATAATTAAAAAGCATATTTGAAAAAAAATAAAATTTTACATGAAAAACTATAATTGTAATATTTATTTATTATATTAATTACTGTTTTATATAATCTTAAAAATACAATAAAATCAATAAAAAAAAATTTTTTTAAATTTATTCAAAAAAAAAAATTAATTATAATAAAATAAAGTAATAACTTTTAAATACTTTTATTTAATACTCTTTTTTTTTATAAAGTATAGTAATTTTGTGATATACATTTATATTAATACAGTATTTAATAAATTACACAAATAAATATTCAAAAAAATAGAAAAAATTTGAGAATTAAAACAGTTTAGAAAAGCTATTACTTAACAAATATTAAAAATATTAAGATAAAATTTATATATAAGTAATTTCAAATATATAGAACATATTTACTTAATATGCAGTAAGCAGTTTACTTTAACTAAAGTGATCAAATTAATTTGTGAAGTTAAAAAAGTGTGACTTATTTAATAAAGTGACAAAAAAATTTATTTCTACATGAATATTAATCTAATTGAGATAAATAAATTAGATATAAATAGTATTGAACCTGCTGAACAACTTTTACTTAGAGATAAAAGGTGATTAATTTTGATCAAAGTGCTCAAATTATCCTATGAAGTTAAAAAAAAGTTTACACTATTAATAAATTTACAAAAACACATATTATAATACAAATATTAATCCAATTGAAATTAAATTTTATATGCAAATAGTATTATACCTGCTAAATAACTTTTACTTAAAAATGAAAAGTGATTGACTTTGACACATAATGTTATTGTGGGGTTTAAGAACAGAATGTCTGTACTTCATAGCATTGTGTGCTTGCAAGAACCATAAAATCATTATTGATTTTTTTTTATTATACTAGAAAAGCTTCTAAAAACTCTAAAAGTATAATTTCTATATTATTTTAAAAAAGCTTTTAGCTAGTTTAGAAGATTAATTTCTATATCAATTTTTTTATTATATATTAGAAAAACTTCTAAGACTTCTAGAATTGTAATTTCGATATTATAAATAAATCTAAACAAAAATAAGTCTAACGAAAATAAATACATCAGAAATTGATTCTACAAGAGTTAGTGCATTAATTAGCATATTTATTAAATAAGTCTAACTAAAATAAGTCTAATAGTTCTATTACCCCATAAATAAGTCTAATGAAAAATTATGTGACTTTTAAATCTAATAAACTTTTATATATACAAGAATACCTTTTATATAAGTTAGCTTATTAAATAGCATAATTATTAAATAAGTCTAATGAGAATTTTGTCCTAACTTTTCCTATCAAATAGCATAAAACTTTAATGAAAAGATATAAAAAACAAGTCTAACAAAAATGTTTATTAGATATTACGCCTAAAATTTAAGTTAGCTGAAATAATCTTTTCATTTATTCTGATTGACAATTAATGTAATAATTTTCTTCTCCCATTTTTATCAGAATGAAGCATTTCTTGCAAAGAGAAATATTAAGATTTGTAAGCATATTTTTATAGGTAACCATTATTTTTTCATAACTTCTTTCTTGTATCTCTGATTAAAGTCTATTATAAAATTGATTAGCATAGGATTGACTAACATAAGTTCTTTTTTATTGAAGTCTATCATCATATTAGGTAACATAATAACCTCTAATATTTAGTAGATATTGTCTACAAGCAGAAGCTGTAGGCTTTTCGCAATCAGAACAAGATATACACTTTTTAGCTTTTTAATAGAAATGATATCTTTCAGGTCTAGTACTAGCATTTCTACAAGCCTTTTCAGTATTGTAAAGAAATGGGTAAGAATATTCACCAATCATCCTATATTTTTATTACTAAATTCGAAAAGATTAATTAATAATTAGTTAATACTTCAGTTTTACAATAGCTAAAATCTTTTCAGAAAGCTTGTAAATACTAATCTTCAGTAGGGTTTTTATAATTGAAAAGTGATAGGTACATAAGAAATAAATAATTAAAGAAAAAAATTATAAAAGCAAATAATAGCGTGATAGTTAGAGCTAATTATATATTAAATATTAGATACATATCTTAATTATATTGAAGAAATAAGTATAGAGATAGCTGATTTTAATTCAATTGGTACTACTACCTTTATAGCTTTACCTGAAACTATGCTAAAATATAATAACAGAATTATTAATATTCAAAATAATAATGACTAATGCTTTGGATGGTATGTTCTAAGAGTTTTGCATCTAGTTAAAGTTCATCTAAAAAGAAATCTGCATCAGTTATATAGAGATTTTGTAAAGAAACTTAATATAGAAGACATTCCAATTCTAGTACCAGTCTTAATACCAGTTTATAAAAAGTTTGAAGAAAATAACCCTGAAATTAGTCTATGTATCTATAAATGGCATAACCAAAACAAATGTCTTGACTTTCGCTATATTTCAGAAAGAAGAGAGAATAAATATAAGCAAGTAAATCTTCTAGTAATTACAGAAGAAGAAAGAAGTCACTATTGTATTATCAAAGATTTACATAAGCTAGTATACAATCATAGTAAAATAAAGAACGAAAATATCTTTATCATTATTATCTTTATGTATACTCTTTAGAGATAAATACAATAAACATTTGCTAAAATGCAAGGATCTAAATAATGATTTAGCGACCATAAATTCCAGTTAAAAATAGGAATATCAAAGCTTTTATAACTATAAATACATGCAACCAAATCTATTTCGCATTTTTGGGATCTAGAAATGTTAACTGAAAAGTTAATTTTAGAAGAGAAGACGAAGTTAATCTATACTGAAAGATTATAGATGCATAAGCTATGTGGCTATTGCTATGTAGTTGTTTGTATGAATAGTTCACTTAACTATGAAATCATAAGTCATGATTTATATAAAGATTCAGATGTGCTTGAAAGATTTGTTATAAAAATCGAGAAGGAGCTGACAAACATACAGGAGGACTTATCTACACCTGCAAAAATGATAATAGTACTAGGAGATATTAAGGCATATAAAGAAATAACAGTATGCTAGATATGTAAGAAGCCTTTTCTTAAGCCATCACTGGAAATATTACAAAAATTTGAAGAAATAAAGCACTATTTACTAGAAATTAATGAATGGGAAATGCATATGGAAAAAAAACATCCTAAAAAAAAAGAGACGCAGAAAAGATACTGAGAAGCCTTAAGTATTCTTAACTGTAAAGTAAAAGACTATGACCATATAAGTGATAAGTTCTAAGATTCAGCTCATGATGCCTGCAATAAAAAGTTGCGAATAGGATCTTTTGAGACGAAAGTACCTCTCATCTGTCATAATTTTTATGGATATGATTCCCATCTGCTTATAAAAGTTGTTTTAAAATTTACAGTTGACAAGTTAAATTGCATCCCAGAGAATATTGGAAAGTATAAAGCTATAAATGTTAGCCAGCTCTGATTTCTTGATAGCTTTCAGCATATGGAAATGGGATTAGATAAATTAGTAGAATATCTAGAAGGAAAGCTTGAAAAATTCTCCTTAACTGTTAGGTATTTTACAGAGAAAGGCTACTCAATAGACAAGACCAAGCTTTTACTTCAAAAGGAGTATTCTTATATGACTGAACAAATGCATAGGAAAAATTTGACAGAACAAGTCTCTCATTTAGAAAGGACTTTTATTCACTTCTTAGTCAGCAAAATATTAGTAAAAAGAATTAAAAATATGTTCAAAAGGTATGGCAAATATTCAAGATGAAGAACTTTGGAGAATATCATGATCTTTATCTTGAGACAGATGTACTTTTACTTGCAGATGTTTTCATGAACTACACTATTATATGCTTGAAAAATGATAGCTTATATCTCTCTTATTATATTTTAATATCTGGAATATTTAATAATTCTCTTTACAAAAGTAGTGAGACAGAACTCAAATTCATGACAAATATGGATGAATATCTAACAGTAGAAAATGGCATTCGTAAAAGCATGACAATAATAAGTCATTGATATACTAAAGCAAATAATCCATAATGTCCAGATTATGACTCTAGCAAGCTGAATTCTTGGATCATATATAAGGATATGAATGCTTTATATTCAGGTATAATGATCCAATACATGCCTACAGAAATTTTAGGTAAAGTAGTACCAGAAAAAATACCAGATATCTAAAGCATAGTACCAGATGCAGAAATAGGCTATACACTTGAAGTTGATTTAGAAATTCCAGTACACTTGCACGATTACTTTGCAGATTATCCATTAGTTCTAGAAAAGCAGATAGTTTTAGAAGATTGGCTTAGTTTATATAATGAAAGATTAGTGCAAAATAAAAATGTTGAAGGAGGTAAATACTTGTCTGAAGAGAAGCTAGTCCAGACCCTCTTTACTAAGAAGAATTATGTAGTTTACTATCAAGCTCTTCAGACATATATAAAGTTTGGAATAAAGGTTACAAAGATTCATGATACTCTTAAATTTCAATAGTTTCCATGAATGAAAGACTATATTAAGGAAAATATTTGCAAGCGTAAAATTGCTAAAGTTAATGAAATGAGTTTAGGGTCATGTATTATAAGCTAAAGAATAATGTAGTCTTTGGTAAACAAATAAAAAATATTCGTAAACATATGAGAGTAGAATCACTCCAAACAGAAGAAGATAAAAAAATCAGGTGTCTAGCAAGTTTACCATTGTATGTAGGCTTTAAAGTATTTGAAGAGAAAATTACAGCAGTCTATATATTAAAAAGTACAGTAACTCTAAATAAATTAATCTATATAGGGCAGGCAATTCTCAGCATTAGCAAGGCTATGATGTTCAACTTTTGGTATAGTTATATAAAGCCTCATTATGAAGAAAAGACCTGTTTACTTTATACAGATATAGACTCACTTATTATGTGGATAGAAACTGAGGATATCTATAAAGATTGAGCAGAAAGACCAAACATTTTCGATTTTAACTATTTAGGAGGCTTGTTTCTAATGAAGGATAAAATAAAAGGGGATCCAATAAGTGAATCAGTATGTTTAAAGTTAAAAATGTATTCAGTTCTTCTAGCAGGTCATGATTCTAAAATTTCTGATGATTCTGATTTTGAAAACCCTAAAAAGAAGCATAGCATTCAGAAATTAAAGGGTATTAAGAAATGCGTAATTAAGAGAGAGCTTTGACATGATAAGTTTCTAGAATGTCTTAGAAATAAGAAACTAACTCAACATGATATGTATAGCCTCTGAAGTTATGATCATCAAATATATCTGAAGAGGGTAAATAAGATAGGGCTGAATCCATATGATAACAAGCGTTGGATCTTACTTGATAAAATTTGAACTCTTTCATATGGATATTGGCAAATTGGATTATACAAATATCTAGTAGTATCTGAAATATCTCCTGAGGAAGCAGAAGAAAGGGCTATGAAAGTTAGACATCAAGTTAAGGAATAGATGCTTTATAATAAATATTTTTTTCAGATAAAAATTATCAAAAATATAATTTTATTAATTAAAGTTTTTCTATCATTATAGTAGAAACAATACAAAATGGTCGATTATAAGGATATAGAACTTATACAAGTCAAAGTTATAAAAACTGCATTACGAAAAGGCAAAAAATATAATAATCTTGCAAAAAACTATGGAGAGTATTTAAAGAAATTACGAGCTGAAAAGAATCTAAATGACTATATTAAGATAGTCACAGTCAAGATATTTTCTAACGAAGAGGCATACACTCTAAGGCTAGAAAATTATCGCAAAAAGTATATGGATAATGATCTATATGCTAACCTAGAGGAATTATATGAGCTTTATTATGATATAACTAAGGAAGAGAATCGAGAAAGGTCAGATAATGAAATAGAACAGATGCGTAAAACAATGACAATCTAGTTGTCTAGTGAATAACACTTATATGCAAGCAAAAAGATGCCAGTTACAATGCTAATATAATATTTTAGATTTGTTCAGATATGATAAATATTCAGTTTATTTTTTTTTCTGATGTGATAAATATTCAGTTATAGAAAAGATAATAGCTGAACATTTATCTAATAATAGTTTTCAGCATGACCCAGTCTATGATATACACAGCAGAGTATATATTGATGATCTTGTACAAGTATTAATTCTGTACAAACTTATTAAAAATGCAGAGGATACAATATCAACGACTAAGACATTAGCTAAAATGATTTTATTTACTAGTATAGGTTCAATTAGAAAATATTCAAATAATATTGATATTTTAAATGAATTTTACAATCTAGTAGAGGCATTTTATTATTCAATTCTAAGAGAAAGAGAAGGGATGAGTAAACACATACTGGTTCTATTTTAAGTATAATTATTAGATTTTTTTCTGATACAATAAATATTTAGCTATAAAATATAACACTTAAAATGGCATATATAGAATATAAAATATAACCTTTTTCAGATAATATAATCCATCAAAAAGTGCATTACAAAGCAATAAAAGCAGGATATAGGCATTATACTGATTGACATAACTTCTAGCACAAATAAAATTAGTAAAAGCTTAGCTGATAAGCTTAAAAGACAATATGGAAAGCATTAAAAAATAAAAGAGTGAAAAACTCATTAGGCATCATAGATTGCTTAGATATATCTTTCTGATACAAAGAAAAAGATAGACTAGTCTATAGTAGTGATGAAGTTTTTAATGATTTTAAGGTTGTTACAAAGTCAGGAAAAGCTAATCTTATATTAGAAATATCATAGTTATAGATACGTAAAGTAAAAATAAATATGTGGAAAAAAAGGATAACAATATATGATGATTTTGTATCATTTTGCAGGCATCTAAAAAATAATGAATATTATTATTCAGAAATAAATAAATCAGATTTATCTGAGTCTGAAGTGGAGATAGTTGCATTTGAGTGCTATTTATCTGAAAAAATGAAAATCAAATACTATAAATCAGCCAAGTATGATGCTAATTTTATATGCATAAAAATATTAACCAGATGCTGATTCTGCTTCTGTGCAATTAGACGAGTCTAGACATAATATTCATCAGTATTTTTTATAGAATGATTGTAGCTTAATAAATAATGCACAGTAATAATATGGTAATCATTACATATATTATGGGAATAAGTAACTGCGCATAATAATTTATTCTCAAACTTTCTCGTACATTCTCAAAATTAAATAAAGCTCCTTGATGATCTTTACATATGAATAGCGTTAAATTTTTTGGTAAAACACCTTTGACTGATTACCCGCTAATTTGCAACTCAGGATTGACCTGTAAAGATCTAAGAACTTTCATATTTTGTGATGATCAACTGTGAAAGGAATATAATTATAAAAATAGTGGATATATAGGAAGGCTTAGGTAAGAAAAAAAAATAAAATCAAATATATATTATTGCTAAAGTCGCCCAAACTTTTTGAACTATCAAATTACATAATTTATTATTTTCTAAAACTATTTCTCCAACAAGAATAATTCTGCATATAACAAAATCAAACTAAAACAATCTAAAACAATGTTTTCAGATATTTTTTTGTTCACTATTTTCAGCATCATAGTTATTATTTTTGAAATGATAAGCCGTAGTGCCCTAATTATAGATATGATCTAGAGAATTCTTTCAGAAAATACAAGCATTTACATAATTCTTACCATCGCTATCTTCTTTTCTCGTAAATATCTAATGGAAATGCAAGATAAAAATAATAAGTTTGAAAGAACTCTCTTAACTTTAAGCAATGAGCTCCAAAGAATATGTACAGAAGCTGAATGGTGAAATAATACACTATCTTAAGATATAGCATGTGATAGGAAAAAAAATAACCGATATGCATAATACTTATTTGTGCCTTATTGCGCTTATTTTTTAGCAGGTTCTAATCAATTTTTTTCAACAAGTCACATTTTCATAAAACGATGTTCTAAATATACAGATGAGTATGAAACATATTGGGTCAAGTTTATGGCTCTTTTTAATAATAAGAGAAAAAAAAAAGGACATTTTCTAACGCAACTATACAATATTTTATCAATCAAAATTGGATTTAGTACCAGCACTTTAGCTAGCTTTTACTGTCACCAAAAATCTCCAGGAACAACTTTTATAGATAAAATTAATGAATGGATTGAGAAGGAAGGGAACAAAAAAGTAGTTAGTTTTTGAATAATAGTAGTAGCGGTAGTAGTAATAATAGTAATACTTTCAGTAGAGGTAGTAATGCGAAATAAAAATGGTATTAGAACTCTCATTTATAACCTAGAATCTGAGAACTCCCTTCTTCTTAAAGTGTTTATAACTCTTTGTGCATCATTTATTTCAAATGCTATTTTCTTAATCATTTCTTAGCCAGGCTAAAGACATTAAAGCTAAGGCATCTATCTAAAAATTTTTAATAAAACTCTGAATGTTATTTTTTAAATAATAATAAAAAATTTTTGCATGCAAGATTTTTTTTTGTGCATAAAATATCTGAATATAATGTTTCATCCAGATTATAATTATATTATAGATAAGCTTCTAGTAAGTATAAAAGATAGGACATATCAAAGACTCCTAAATTATTCGTATAAACCTATTCCTTTAAACTGAATTTCAGAGAAAAATAAGCGAATAGAGGATTATTTACATCAGCGCTATCACGCTCTGTCATTTTTATTTTTTCAGTTGTTTAGAAAGAATTTTCTTCGAAATATTTTAAGCATTTTTTCTGAAAACTAGGCTTCAGCAAATTTTTAGTTATTTTAGGCAGAAATTATTGTTGAAAATAAATGAAATACCCAAACTTTTGGAAAAATATGAAATTTCTGAAATTTCTGAATTTTTGGATTATTTTTTTTTTGATTATATTACTTTATCGAAGGCAGTAAATCATAATCAGACATATGTTTAGCCAATTACATTTTAATGAATACTATAAGAGTTTGCTTGACTAATTACCTTAATCCTTAAAAAAAGAAGCATAGTTACATCTTACAACCCGCAAAAATAACCCTTTATCTGAGAAACAGGCTAGAGGAATTTGTCTAGATATAGAGGAGTTACTCATTAGTAATATTAATAAGTACCATAAGAGTAAATATTGTCAGAAAATTAAGATCGAAGCAAATACCTCTATTGATGGTATTAATACTTTTTTCCGATTGGATGGCTTGAAAAAACAGTTGGTAGAGCGTAAGGCTTTGCTAAAACAGAAGAAAAACAATATTAAAAAACTATTGAGACTCAAGTTGTTGAGGAACACAAATGTCTAAAAGATGAATATGATGCTCTTAAGTCTCGTCTAAAGAGTGAATATAATAATTGCATGATAAATATAAAATAAAAGACATATTCATTTAGACATCAATTGGAATTCCAACATAATTCACGCTTAGCTAAGCTAGAAAAGCAATATAAATCTCATATCTCTGCTTTGAATAAAGCTAATACTGTAAAAGATAAGAAGATCAGCAAGTTATTCTCTACTATTTTTCAGCTTAAGAATGAAAAACAAGATATAAAGAAGACCGCTGAGTTTATATGTAAAGATTTTAAGAATGTTATTTTTGCTAAGGACTTAAAGATTATTACTCTCAATGATAAGATTATTTCTTATAACCCTCATATTAGAAGAGATGTGATAATAGAATCAAATTCATATTTTTCTTATCACGATACTGAATTATAGACTGAAAAGCAGAAAAAAGCAAAGAATGATATAAGTATCCAAAAAAAATATACATTTCAAATATGTGTTTAAGCAAGGCTTAATCGAATAGGTACAGTCCTTGGCAAAAAGAATGGTAGTGGAAGATCGCATTTATTTTATGCTGCAATTTCACCACTTTCCAGATTTAGGCATTTGTTTATATGCCCAAATCGGACATTAGAACCTGAATTAAAAAGGTAAGTTAAAAAATAAGGTTTGTATTTATTTTTATTTTGATTTCCTTTCCAAAACTATGCTAAGCTCTTTAAAAATACAAAGAAATTCTGTTAAGTCACTTTGGGACCAAAAAGTGCGTAATGTAAAGGAAATTTCTAATTGATTGTGCATTCCTTTATGCACATGTGAACGATATGTCAGTTTACTAAATAAAACTGGCAAATTTCTATTGGTCACTCTTCTAGCCGTCTAAGAAAATTGGCTTCAAATCAACGTTACCATATTGGAAAAATTCTGCAATATAATCATTTTACTACAGCAGGTGAAATTAAGGCAAAATTGGAAGAAAAAGATCTCAACCTTGATGTCAGTGAATGTATGATACGTCGTGAGCTCAACAATCTTAAATATGTTTCTGTTCTTCCAAGAAAGGTTCCTCTCTTGACCCAAAAAGTGAAGGAATTTCGTTTGTCTTAGGCACGTGATCATTCACAATACAACTGGAAAAAAGTTGTTTTTTCTGATGAAATAATACTTCAGATGTTTAGAAATACCATGTGTGCATGGTCTTATAATGCAAAACCAATTGCACCTATGGTAAAGCACCCATTCAAGGTTCATGTTTGGGCAGCGATTAGTGCTAAAGGAAAAATCGGTATTCATTTGTTTACTGAAAATTTGGATCGTCATTTGTATCAAAAAATCTTAGACGACCATCTGTATAATAACGCGAATATGTTATACAGATGTGGCTGGATCTTTTAACAAGATAATGACCCAAAATACACCTCACATGATGTTCAAGGAAACTTGAAAAAACATCTTCTAGGACGAGTTCTTTCTTGGCCTTTATACAGCCCAGACTTAAACCCTATTGAAAACGTATGGGCTGTATTAAAGGGAAAGGTGGAGAAAAAGATCAAGTATTTAGTAGCAAAAAAAAAACATTACCTGCGATGTATTTCTTAATACAATCTGGCAGGAATGGGACGATCTTGATAACGCTATATTACTTCAGTGCA